CTCTATCACAAGAGGTCTAAGTAAAGGAGGGGGAAATTCTCTGCCTGGGAGCATCAAGGTACTTCGTAGAATAAGTGACATTTGACCCGGGCTCGTGACTATTTCAGGTTGACCATGGTTTCTTTAATCAGTTTTTACTGTATCTCTGAACTAATTTTGCTGGCTCCTTAAATACTTGGGGCTCAAATACAGATACCCCACTGTTTTTTTCCCTTTGTCTTATTTAACTTAATTTACAAAACTGTAATGGAGTCAACATTTTTTCAATCATGTAGAGATGATTTGAATGTTGACTTGTGATGTATCAGTGAATTTTATGACCTTTTCCCTCTTATTAACAGTCTGTTACATAAGTGACTCAAATAATCAGCCTGACTGTAGTATTTTAAATCACATGCCATATATACTCATGTATAAGCCATTTTTTCAGCACAGTTTTCGTGGTAAAATCAGGTGACTTGGCTGCTATCGGGTCAGCCTGTACTCTTGTATATATGGTAGGTCACCTGCTTGAATCATTTGATTTTTAATCTTTCAAGTTATTTGCTGCAGAAGAACCATAAATAGGACCCTGTTTCAAACTGTATTGACCGTACTGGTCAGTGTGGCGTTTGCTGCTTTGTGTAATCTGTGAGTGGGTAAATAGGCGGTGCTTAGCAGGAATTGGAGTCCTCTCTGGAGCCATTAGCACACTCGACTGCTAACCACCAGATCTAAGTTTCAAGGCCACCCAGAGAGACCTCGAAGAAAGGCTTACTTGGTTAGGGTCACCATGATTCAGAGTCAACCTGAAGGCATCTGGTTAGCGGCCAGGTTTAGCCACGCTGTTTTAGTGCAGCTGAGAACCACATCAATTACCATTCTCTATGCCTCTCACGAACAACTCCCAGTCAGGAAAATGCCCACACCTCCCCAGCACTCAGAGCAATAATATTTAGAACATCCTATGCCTTCCAGGTCAGGTTCCGAGGAGCAAGGCTGATTCAGTTGAGAAGACAGCTCGCAGGAATCGAGGGCATTGTCAATTCTCAAAGTGCAGGACGGGTCGGGTCGTTTCTACATGAACAAGAGCCAATCCATAACACTTACTATGGAACCGTGTTGGAGGCTGTATGGTGATGCAGGAGGGAGGCCTTTGCCTCCTGCTACAAAGAGGCATGTGCCCCCCCCCCCAACTCGGTGTCCCCCTCACCGCCACCCCACCCCCGTGTAGCTGAAGGGAGTTAGGGTGTGCCACAGAATGCCAGGACACACGCAAAAGCTTCACCATCCCTGCTGTGGTGCAGCCCAGCAAAGCCAGGGCTGTTCTCAGCCCCGAGTCTTCGGCTAAACGCTTGATACCTCTCACACACAACCCATTGCCATTGAGTCAAATCCCACTCCTATAGTGACCCTATAGGATAGCTGTTCTCAACCCGTGGGTGACGACCCCTTTGGTGGGGTCAAATGACCCTTTCACAGGGGTTGCCAGATTCATAACAGTAACAAAATGACAGTGATGAAGTAGCAACGAAAATAATGTTATGGTTGGGGGGTCAGCAGCACATAAGGAACTGTATTAAAGGGTCGGGGCATGAGGAAGGTTGAGAGCCACGGCTATAGGACAAGCAGAACTGCCCCTGTGGGTGTCTGAGACTCTGTCTCATGGGGCGGCTGGTGGGTTGAGTGGATCTGAATTGCTGACCTTGCAGTAGCAGCCAAATGCGTCACTCACTAGGCTGTCAGAGCTGCTTGACACATAGTAAGTGCTCAATAAATGTAGATACAGGAGTAGACGACTCTGAAAACCTTTATTCTCCGAAAGCGTTAGAAACGGTCATTTCTGGTTTCTGAATTCAACAACTCAGCTCTCTCAAAAATGACCTAGTCCAGCGGCCTGCACTAGGAGTGAGCAGTGATTCTGGATCATTCATTACTTTGGAGAAGAAAAAGGTGTTGAGTTCTCAAAGCTTGTCACACCAACAGCACTCTCTGTGCATTAGTCCCACTCATGGCCATGCAGCCGATGTTGAGTCCTAGTGACCCTACACAGGCCTACAGTGCTCTATCAGTCTTCACGGGAGCAGACAGCATCATCTGCCTCCTGAGAAGCAGTGGGTAGATTTGAACTGCCGACCTGGTTTATACCAACACATACAACTGTGCCACCAGGACTCCTTTGTATTACCAAAAAAATCCCAAACTCACTGCCATCAAATCGATGTGATCCTATAGGACAGAGCAGAAAGCTCCATCTTTCTCCTGAGAGGCTGCTAGTGGTTTCAAACTGCTGGCTTTGCAGATCACAGCCCGGCAGGAACCACTCTGTTACCTGAGCCCCCTTTGTGTTACAGCCCTTTGTTTTACCTGGAAACAGAGACCAGGCAGTGAAAAGAGGGCAGTGCATCATGTCACTGTTTTGAAATCAAACCCCAGTTAACTGCAGTTTTTACTAACATCCTGTATCCCAACAAAATGACAAATTTCCTCCTCTGTGTATTCTGAAAATCAGCTAGTTGGGCAATGCAGTTGAAAGTGGGGTGTAAGAGGTAGGCTTCACAAGGTTTATGGGGAGGGGAATCCCACTGTCTTCTTTCTATTTTCCTTTCAGCCTTTTTGAGGGCCCCTTGTTGAAAGTATCTAGGAGCCTAGGTGGCATAGTGTTGGCATAGTGGTTACTCATTGGGCTGCTAAATGCCCGGTCAACAGTTTGAAACCACCAGCTGCTCTGCTTTCTACTCCTAGTTTTAAAAAAAAGTTACAGTCTTGTAAATCCACATGGGCAGTGAACTGCCCAATAAGTTCAAGTATGAGTTGGCATCCACTACATGGTAGCATATGCCATTATGCTAACATACATAATATATTTGACACAAGCTATATATTTGCTAACAGCAAGGTTGGCAGTTCAAAACCACCAGCTGCTCCTTGGGAGAAAGATGAGGCTTTCTACTCCCATAAAGAGTTACAGTCTCAAAAACCCATAGGGCCATAGGGTTGCTATGAGTTGGAACTGAGTTTGGGTTGGGGGATATAATGAAAGGCCATGATTTTGTCTCATAGGTGGGTTGATATCGAGGATATCCTGGTAACACTGGATAGTCGAGGCAGACCCATGAACATCACTGTTACATCTGTGCCCAATTGGGCTGTGTAGTAGTTTGATTTAGTAAATCCTTCTCTCTGTTTTTATACACAGTGACCTAAAAAAGAAATATTATTCCCAAGAGTGCCTTTGTGATTGTTTGTTTAAATTAAGTTTCATTTGGATTTAATCTTAACCAAATCTTTAGAGAGCCAGGCGGGCTATCAGTAATGAAGTGCTGTGTGTTTGAACCAGTGAAAGGAGCTGCCAAGCTGAAGGATTCCTCAGTAAATGAGTGGGCTTTCTAATGTTACACTTGGGTGGCACAAGCCGAGTGCCAGATGATTAGTTTATGGTCTAGATCATTGTATTTTTATTACACTCATAAAATCTGTGTTTCTCCTCATTTTCGTAATGGCTTCAATGAGCTTCTATACCTTCTAAAGGCACATTAAATTGTTATGTGATGAAAGTACCGATTTAGTAGAGCTGCTTTTAAAGCTTAGAGTAAGACACATGTTTTGAATTCTCATCTTATTGTTGGATTTCCACTAACTAAATGGAAAGTGCCTGGGTTCGAGCATAATTCATATTTATTTGTGAGCTTTTCCGTAACTGTCAGTAGGTCCCATTAAATTCCAATATAACTGATACACAGTGAGGTGCCAAAAGGATATTGACAATTTCGATCACATGGGAAGGTAAATCAATATTAAAAGAGGAAAATATTGTGTATATGTCTGAGTTTTTAAAGGTGATTTAAGAGGGGGAGAGTTTAATAACACGGACTATGAAAAGAAGACATTTTATATCCAAGATATGTGGATTTTTAAATAACAAGACCTTAATTGGATTGTTATGTCTGTATTTAAAAAGAAATGAATGCTCTCTTGAATACTAAATTTGCATCTGAACGCAGTTGCTCCTAACAATTTCTGTGACATTAATGTAACTCATTGCAGGAAAAGCAGAGCACTCATCACTCTAGAATGTAACATGCTAATAAAAGCCTGCAAATTTCGACATCAGCGTAACCCCTGAGAGCCAGTGGTTTTAGTAATGGCGCTGTGAGAACTGATACATAGGTTTACAGCCATGAAGTTGTGACTTGTCTTTAAAAGGCGTTGGGGGTAGGAGGGTGAACGCTTTGGGGCCTTTTAAAAAAGATTATTTCTGCAGGTTTATATGGACATCCATTTGTTGCTCGTGCCTCTGAGTTATTTTCGGAGTGCCTATTCTGAATTATTAAAGCAGCTGGGGGTCTGTTTTCATTTGAATAATCACCTCTAGATTCTGATACAGCTAAGTGAAACTCCAGTGCTAAAGGTTGTTGGACACCGTGTACTTCTAAAATGGGGTGGGGGGTGTTTGGGGTTTTTTTTTCCCCTCAGAACCCGCTTCTGATAGGATAACAATTTGACAAAGGAAAATATTTCTCTGGTTACACAAAATAATGACAGCCCCCACCAGACGCTGAGCATGTCCTCAGATCTCAGATTGCTTCACAGTGGGAAGGGAGTGAGCATCGCTCTCTCAGCACCCCAGCCAGCCTGCCAAATGGTGAGGACAGCACACCACCAACCATCCTTGGATGCTTCAGGTTGCATTCGAGGAACTGTCCTGCCTAGATCCTGCATTGGACATCCAGACAGCTGATCCTAGAACGCATGGAGGAGTTTCTCAGGGAATTCGCTGGATTTTTTTTTTAACTTCTCTTTTCATTTTTCTTTTTAATATTTCATGGAAGCATGCAAAGCATGGGTCCAGTTGATTCAGAGAGTTGAAGGCAGCTGCAGAGTGAAAGTGTCTCATGAAAATGAACTAAATTTCCTGTGAATGGAATAAATTTGGATTGTGTCTCGGAGTGCAGTAATTATGCATGTCACGCAGTAAGTAGGCAGTCACACTGTGGCCACGGTGCCTCCTTTGTCCGCAGATGGTCTGGGAGAGCGGCTGCGTGGTTATTGTCATGCTGACGCCCCTCGCGGAGAATGGAGTCAAGCAGTGCTACCACTACTGGCCAGATGAAGGCTCCAATCTTTACCACATCTATGAGGTACTTCACCCAATGCATCTGCTTGGAAAGTCGACTGTAAGGCCAGGGGTTGCTAGCATGCTGGGTGCAACGTTTCCTAATCCCATTCAACCCAAGGCGAAACCTCCCCTTCAGGCAGTTGAGAGAGAGGCACATGGGACACCTGGTCCTCACAGCCCAACCGGCAGTAGAATTCATTCTGCACAGTCTGCAGGTACAGCCACCACCAGTAAGGAAGACCGAGCTGAAAGAGGGGACTGCAGTCCCAGACCTGCTACTAGGATGGTTAGTGCTTTCAGCATTTAGAGTACGCAAGGACTAGTTAATGGTAGAAGAAAAACCAGGTGGTCTACTGGCCCAGACCAGCCATTGAGACCCAGACAGATCCCACTTCCACCGTGCCACACTTGGGGGACCAAGCGTGGGGGCCAACTTGACATCGACTGGTGGTTTGATTTGTTTGTTTTTAATCAGGCTCACAACTCTCACCTTGTAGAGAGACAGAGATCCCAACCCTTAAAACAGTCATGCCATCGGGAATTGGACTCTGGGGTAAATTACCGTTTTTTATTTTTAAAAACACAATGCTACAGAGAGGAATATATAGATATGCCTCCAATATATATAGATTGACCTCCCCAGGGCGGCCTATAGAATCCAGTCCCATAGAACAGGCCTTGAAATAGGGTCTACTTTTAAAAAGCACCCTGCCATTATTCTAATTGCTTATTGATTTCTTTGACTGGGCAGTGTGGTCTTTCCACGGTGCTGTTTAGAGGCTTGTGTACGTAGCGTTTGACCTTTTTATTTGAGGATAACCTGCTGACAAGCTTATTTCCCTTGCCGGATTTTCTACCCACATTAAGAATGAACTAAATCAACTTGGGCCTTTAAACAAGCACAGGAATGCAGCTTTTGCTTCTGTTTTGCATTAAAATTAATCAGAACTCTGAGGCCCATGGTCGGAAGCCTGTTAGAAGCTCGATGATTAAGCCTAAATCACATAGCTGTGACTTTTAGGTCACTGCAAATAGACTTAAAATGTGGAAAGTGATTTGGCGGTAGCCACATGAATACAACTCTCAGCTTCTTTTGTTCTCCTTAGTTCTAAGTCCAGGTGTATGCTGCATTAGGTAGTTTAAGCTCAAGAGGGGCTTAGGTTGTATATTCGGTGGATTGATTGGTGCTTTTGTTCAAAAGCCTCTGAAGCCCCTGGGTGACACTGGACGCAACACCAAAGTTCTCTTTGGCGTGAAGCCCTTTAAATTTAAGGGGCGGGGGTGGGGGAGACCCACAAAGTCCATTGTCAGTGCATCCCTGCAATATCCAACGTGCCATCTTGGAGCCGGTCCCCTTCTCTGCTCCCAAGTAGCCGCCTGCTCAGCTCTGCTTTAGATCCGTGCTGCCCAGGCCTCTCACGGTTTCCCTTTTTCTCCTCTTGCCTCCATCCAGGTAAATCTGGTCTCTGAGCATATCTGGTGTGAGGATTTCCTCGTAAGGAGCTTCTATCTGAAGAATCTCCAAACCAATGAGACGCGAACTGTGACCCAGTTCCATTTCCTTAGTTGGTATGACCAGGGCGTTCCGTCCTCCACAAGGTCACTGCTGGATTTCCGAAGGTATTACAAAGAGCCCAATGGCAGATTAATGTATCTACAGCATGGGCATCAGATAAAAGGACGCACACTGTAATGCCAGCTTTCCATAACTCTAAGATGCCACTGATTGTAAAATGTTCCATCGTTTGTAGCATTGCCTTCAGAGGAGAGAGCGAAAAGGAAAGGAAAAGAAAAAGGATTATATTACATGTACATATCAATGATGAGATGTTTCTTCATTTTAAAGGCATTAAAATATGAAGGTGGAATGGGCATCTTAGAATTGTGGGAATATGGTAATTATCTCTGATAAAGTTCACCAACTGATGAAGAGCCCTAAAGTTTATATTTCATAGAATATTCATGAATAAATATTGAATGTGGGTATTCATATAGTTGGATGTGATGACGAGATTTAACAAGTTTAGATCCAGGTTTTAAAATGTGTAATTCTCGATGCAAGCCTGGGTGGAGTTAGCAGATGACATGTATATATTTTCAGTGCCATTTTGAAACTGCTTTTTTTTTTTAATTCAGTATTTTGTTCATTATTAAAATCAACTCGCCACACAACCAATTGTCTTATATTAACATGTATTTATTGAACTGTTGAAATGAATGCCAGACTTTGTCTTACAGGGAGATATTTACAATGCAGAGAAAACAAAATTTAAGACTGACACTTAGCACATCAAATTTGGTAATAATTTTTGGTAAATGGGTAAACATTCACAGAGAAAGCGAAGGTTTGCAGCACCAAGTTCTAAGTTACATGAAATCTCTCTGACATTTGACTGTTTGAAAATCTGCACACAAAGGAAACCAAAGAGCTGTTCCTAAGGCAGTAGGAGTAGCACTGGGGGGCATTGATTAAGCCAGCATTCCAGACTGTCATAGAGCAGTTTGTATCTAAAGAGCTAGTCATCCCTGATTGTGGAGGTACTTAGGTCAGAGGGAAGTTGAGAAGGCAAGCATTTTCCTGAAGACGGGCGTTTCAGACTCATCTCTGGAAGCGTGGGATGATGCGGTCCCCCTGCTGGAGGCTTCTCTGACATTACTCCGCTTGCCTTTTAGTCTGCGTTGAAGAGTACAAGAGAAATTGTATTCGGCTAGTTCTTTGGATCAAGCAGCATGTGAATGAGCTCAAGGAGAGACACAAATTTGGTGGCCCATCTACAAACCACAGTCAGTGACCATTGCCCTACTCTGTCACCTCTCCGAGAGATGCCCTGTGCACTGTGGATCCACAATACTGAATGCATAGTAAAACAGTTACCCTCCACCACTCCCTCCTCGGCCATCTTCTTTTCTTGGCCTCGATAGAAATTTGCTCAATACCAATTTAATCCCCAAAGACATGCTATTTAAGAATCTTGTGTAGGGTCCATTTCCTGGAAGGAAATCCTCAAAAAAGCTGTCATGACTGGCAGCATGGAGGCAGCTACCAACGAGGACCATTCCCTGTCTTTATGTGCATTCAGTGCTTTCATATATGCGTATGAGTATGCTTATCTATCATATACATATATGGAATTGAGCATATACATAACCAACCCTCTGTGTTTATAATCCATCCTGAAGAAAAAATGGATTCCCAAAATTCCCTTGCCCCAGAGTCAGCGGAGAAGGTTTCCGTTACATTGAAAGGGAAACGAGCACCTACGCTGTCTTGAACGCCTGGTGAGAGAAAGCTCTTCTTGCCTTGCCTTATTTGGCAGGACCTCCGCCTCTTTTTCTCACATGATCTTGACCATGGATGGGAACAGTGGCATCCTCAGAATGCGCTGTACTTCGACACAGATTACTGTGAGGTGACCATCAGCCAAATTCCAGCGATGGAGATGGTGAGGCCACTTCTGAAGACCTGTCCTTTTAATGCAGCAGGATCTCTCATCTGACTTTGAACAATACACCAAGCATTCTAGCTCGGGCCTAGTGCGTGAGTCAGGCACTGAGATGTGTCATTAAATATTTCTGGAGCCCAGAGGGAGCACATTTACACTTTAAAGAGAAGCTGCTACGCTAAGAGATAATTAGCATCACATAGGAGGGCTTTGCTTTTTAAAAAAAAAATAAAATGAAATTATCTCTCTCTCTCTCTATGATTCTCTCACTTCTCGCTGTGCGCAATGGCATTCACTAACGCTGCTCACTGTAAAAGTGGACAAACCCTGACTTTGCCAGCTAATTAGCGGTGGCCAGTGTCATTTTTGTGATGTTGCAGCTAGTAATATGAGCCCAGTTGCATAGTCACAAAAGTGATCATTGGAAACTGTGACTCTGCTGCAGGGACAATGTGGGAACCCCCTTTTCTGAGCCTCTCACGACCTCTGACCTTGCTTGCTGATGGTCTGCATGATGATTCCTTTCCACTCAGTGACCCATGGGTTGGTTTGTATTACTAATCATTCTTTCTCAGTTAATTCCTCCTGTTGAAATGGATCTAATATCTTGTGTTTCCTTAATGTATGAGACCTTTTGCTTACTAGTGTTTTGTTCTAATTAGAATAAAATAAGATCGTTGTATTTTATTTATCTTCATAACTAATCTCTAGCCTGCCTTAGTCCACCTGGATGAAAATATGTGCCGAATTCTGGATGGTTTTTGCTTTTTTCATTTGTGTGATATTTCAAGTTATAATGATTCAAGTCCATGATTCCTTTGTAAATAAAACTCTTTTTTTTTTGTTTTCCCCCAAAATAGCACCATATGGTATTTACATGACGTGTCTCCTTGATAGTGTGTGATTTTAAATAAGTTTAGCATGGGGCGGGGCTGGTTTAGATATTAAACTTACAGCGAAACCTTTCTAAACACAGCATAGACAACCAGGTACAGCCTGTGAAGCAAGTCACAGCAGGAAAAGTAAGATTTTAAATATATCACCAATGAAAGACTGGATTTATAGGAGTAGAGAAGCAAATCATAGCTGCATTAGCTAATAACCAGCTGTGGGGCAGCATTTCTTAGCAAGGGAGACTTTTCTTGCAAAGTTTTTCATGAAGAAGGAGCTGCCTGACCAGCTGTAGATGAGCTACCCCTTTTTTGATGATTCTTTATATTCTCTGGAACCAATACATTTGAAAGAAGAGTCTCTAGTGGGTATGCTTCTTTCTGTTTTAATATATTTACCCCTTTTTGTGCACGTTCCATCAGGGGGGGGGAGCAAACCTGGCACTGGCCAGAGTATGAACATGCAAAAGTGCAGCTTAGTGTCTGCAGACACAGATGGACCATCCTGTATGAAACATGGCCGAAGGCTGCAAGGAGGTGGCCCCTGGTCACGTCAAAGAGCCAGCTAATGAGAAGTCCCCAGCAAATGCTTCTCTATGAAGGTGAAAGGCCTTTTAACGTAAAGGCACTCTGGATTTAGTTTGACGGTTGAGCTTGATCCTTATACACAAACATGTGCGTGCACACGCAGACACACACACACACGAAGATTTCGAGTTTGACATCTGTCTTAGAGCACAAATTCATGTTGCCTTTGCAACCTGAGTAAAAGGAGCAATAAGTGGATGTGTTTTGTGTTCTGTTTTCAAAAAACTGAGAATTTTTAAGGAATTCTGGCATGCAAGTGCTGTCGGTTTTTCTTCCTCCACTTCGCCCACCCCAAACCTTAACATTGCAACACACACACACACACACACACACCCCAAAATCCCAAAACAAACATACAAAACAGAACAGAACAGCCTCCCAAGCAGGAAAGCTCTAGAAGAAAGAGAAATGTGACTGTCCTGGGCATTGAGTAACTTGTTTGCCCATGTCTCCCAGCTTTCTCCACCTCAGAAATATTTTCAGGTGTTCTGCAAGCTTTAAAGTGCTACATACACCACCAGCTCATGGGCGATGGTGTCTTACCTCGTGCACAGTCCTGCTCCTTCGAGCTACGTTCTGCTACTACAACGGGGGCACCCTGGGAGATGCCAACTGTTAACATGATCCAGAAGTTTGGTGGGTCAAGTCTATCCAGACATACCTTGGAAGAAAGGTTTTGCCAACTGCTTCTGGGCTACCAGCCACTGACATCCACATGGAGGGCACTGCTGCTCTGACCCCAGGGGCTCCCTGTGAGTCGGTCCAAGGGGGTTTGAAAATAAAAGCCGTGGCTATTTAGGCTGCAAGACATTAAAACATTTTTCAGTTAATCACTCACTCAATTTCTTTCTTTTGCACCCGTTCCCATCCCCGTTTCTTCTTGGATTCAGGGGTTTTGTGGATAAAGCAACACATTGATTGAATTCTGTATTTTCCGCTATTTGGCTGCACAGTAGGCAAATCTTTACAAAGAAAGGTGCCATTTTCCATTTCTGCTCTAGGGGAATTATTCCCCGGTATTGTTATTATTATTGTTTTTATTTTAAATTTTACTAGCTAGCTTGTGGAACATCATCCTAGAGAATGCTCCCTCACATTTCCCTCCCCCCCTCCTTCCAGTAAACCAAGATCCTGTCTTGTATTTTCTTTATTCTGGAAATTTTATTGAAAGTTTGTATATGCTTTGTAAGTATTTTTAGTTGTTTGAATTAAATACTTAGATTTATATGATGAACTTAAAATCAGCCCCCTGTTTTGTAGTTAGGGTTGGTTACAAAAGTCTTAAAATCAGCTTAGTATAAATTGTAATACCTCTGATCATTCAAAGGGGAAACAGGTTAATGAAATGCTAAAGATTTCTTTTGACTTGGTTGAGGTTTCTCTGTAGCTTAGATATCCTAACCGAAGCTGTCAGATTAAAAACCTGCTCTGAGACAGAATGGTAAAATGGAGTTCAGAGGCAATATCATTATACTATATATTCCACTGTAATATCTAGGCTGTAAGAATTTTTTTGACATAAATTGCAAAACCCCCAAAATTTCAGTGATGAAGGTAGGCATTCATATCACAACAAAAGTCAAGTCAACTGAAGCAAAACGGGAAGAAGAAGAAGAAAAAAAAGAATGGAGCCAGAGGGAAAGGTTGAGAGAGGACTGGTGGGGGGTTGGGGGAGGGGAGGGCAATTGAGCCCTCCCCTAAAGCCTGGACCTGCTTCTTAGAAACCATTTTGCCAGAATGGAAGAATTGTTTTGACAGCCTTGCTGCATCATTTAATGCTGAAAAAAAATGTTTGAAAATGTATACGTAATTCGGATTTTCTTTGTTTAAAAGGCAATGGCATGTCATTTTAAAGATCTGATGTTTGCCTTGGCTTACTGGTTATTTTGGATAACATAGCATCATGGTAATCACAATAATTTTTATATCTCTTTTTATTTCAGAAAAGTTAACAAGTGCTACAGGGGCCGTTCTTGTCCAATAATTGTTCACTGCAGGCAAGTACAACTTTTAACTTGGATTGAGGAGATGTTGTTCCCTGTACAATGAAATGGAGGAGCTGCACTTTCTCGTTGCTTCTTAATCGATGTCAAGGGTACTTCTCAAGGAAGTCAATCATAACAATTTTCCACTGATCTCCTTACACCTCTGTGAGCTGTCCATGTTCCTTGTGGGAAACCACTGTCCGGTTACTAGGACAGTCTGCCTCCCGAGGTCCAGGCCCTACCACCTTATTGCTTGCTACCTTATTGCGACCTTGTGGCGCCACAACACAAGATGGTCTTTGTGATGTCATGCGTGGACTCAACGGCCCTGTGCAGAAAGTGAGGAAAGGGTGCGTGGCAGTGCTACTCGTGGCATCAATGGTAAACGGACACAAGCTCTGCCACTGCAGTGGCGACCCTCTCCCTGTGTCTTCTGTCAATTTGGGTGAAAACTCAAAGGGCCGGATCGCCAAGTCGGTTAAAGTCTCATCAGTAAGAATTGAGCCACTCGGACCAAATGTCTGCTCATGGTGCTCTTCTTGGCTTGATGATCAACACTTTGGGACAAAGAACTCGTACTCAGTGTTTCTGCCTCGGGCCAAAAGGAAATCTGTCCCCCAAGATCAAACACCAAGTCAGTCAATGCAAGTGCGCGCACGTGCGTGTGTGTGTGTGTGTGTGTGTGTGTGTGTGTGTGTCCAAGAGAGGAGGATGAAACAAAAGGGTTTTGCATCCTCAAAAGGAGAACAGAACTTTTTTTTTTAACCTATAGATACCGGTAAACTCTTCAATGAATTGGAAATGTTTGTGTTGTATGGCGTAACATTCTTCAGTGAACACCCACATAGATTAGGCACGGAAGAGAGTGGAGAAAAAAAAAATTGCACAACAGGAAAGTGAGCTGCTGTCATTTGTAATCAATGGGGAGGATTAAATGGAGGACGAGGTTCGGTGGTTATTCTTTGATGATGTAGTGAAGATGTATGTATGTTATGAAAGTACAGTTTCTGAAATATCGATCTGTCCCAAATGCAACTTTCTTCACCATTTATTTCAGAAAACATGTTAAAGGCAAACTCAGTGATTCTTGGCTCTCAAGAAATCAAGCTACCAGCTTGCTAATGCTTTCTCAAAATGATTGGCCAACATGCAAATCAAAAGCTGAACACAAATTGATTTGTCATCTAGTCACGTAATTACGGAAGTCTTGAGGTGGGATATTTTTCCCCCATAAAGTCACAACTCATTGGGCCAGGAGTATAAATAAGAACGGCTCTTCATTTCAAAGCCGGTCATGGCTGTGGGAACAAGCCCGATTTGATTTAGAGCGGAGCTCTCAGGCTCACGTAACGGAGCGGCATTCTACACGCAGAAAAGAAACGGTTGAACACACTCCTTATTTTTTAAAATATATATGTTTTTAAAAGATGCTGGTGCCACTTTTCTCCTAGAAAATCCATCTCCACCCCACCCACCACCCATCCCCCGGCCTAATTTTACTTGCTACTGTTGAGACACAATTCAAAACATTTGTACAACTTCGGACCAGATGGTAAATATTCCAATTATAGCTGGTGGGATGAGAAAGAAGTGAAAGGAGTGTGCTTTTTTAAGAATATGATTAAGACGCAAATGATATGCATATTTCTACCTCCCAGAGGGAGGGTGCCAGCCTCTGGGAGGCACGTGACTGAAGTTTTCTGCCAGCCATTAGAGGCTGACCTGCCAATGAGCCTGCCTTCTTTCCAGGGTGGATTATCCAAGAATCATATAGGGACTTCCTTGAAGACATCGCAAATATAAATGCCATCAGCTCTGACTGGCTCAAACATTGCTTAGGGGTTTTGTTGTTGTTTTCCTGACAAACGTATGCCCAGAGAAGAAACCCACAAAGAAGCAGACAGAGCCCGGCCCCGTAGTCACTCCCTGAAGAGGTGCCAGGAGAGAAGCTTTCTTCTTCCGTGCCTTCCTTTCTTCCCGACGGTCTGGTCTTCTACCCCAGTGATTCTTCCCACACCACGCTCTCCCTAGTTCTCTCCATTCACAGCCTTCCTTTCCGTCGCTGGCCCCACTGAAGCGTAGGGTGCAGTGGATTGTTGCTTGCGTGTTGTGTGTGTGTGGTTTCTCTGTGTGTGGATGGCGTTTTCATTTTCTCTCCTTCTGTTGACAGTGACGGTGCAGGAAGAAGCGGCACCTACGTGCTGATTGACATGGTTCTCAATAAGATGGCCAAAGGTGAGATTCAGAAGCCCGGCTTGCTTTGTTGTGGCTGAGAGATGTGATGGCGTTGCTATAGCAACGGCGGGTATAATAGTCACAGAAAGCTTTCAGGGGGGGAAAAAAAGGATTTTTGTTCCTTTCCTGAATCATATGAAAGTTATTTGCAGCAAACACATTTCTGCAGTACATCCTTTGTGGTCAGGGCCCTACCTAGCCTCTCACGCTGTGCTTGCGCATAGTAGGTGCTTAGTAAATATTTGGTAAGTGGATTATGATATGAATATCAATATTATAAAGAATGCCATGATGGGATTCTTAAGTACCGTATATATGCATGTATAAGCCGCGTGTTTCGGCACATTTTTAATGCAGTTTTTGTGATAAAATTAGGTGCCTCGGCTGATATTCGGATTGGCTTATACTCGAGTATATATGGTATAGAACTAGCGCAGAGTCCCTTTAAAGTATTTCACAGAAATCACCGCCTGCATCGAAGCCTGTCTTTGCCAAGCATCCTAGTTATGGCGCTGTAGGCGGTTACATGCTGGGCTGCCAGCTGAAAGGACAGTCATTTGAACTCACCAGCCACTCTGCTGGTGAAAGTGGAGGCTGTCTGAGGAGGTGGCCCTCTCCATGTCCCTCAGCAAGCCGAGAAAATAGGAGTCCAGTAGATGTGCCACATCGCTTTACAAGGGCATCACCTGGGGGGTGGGGGGGGGGGCTTGGTTGCAGACCAGGGAGGGAAGGCACCTGGCCCCATCTCCAAGGACAGCCCGATGCTATGGCGGCTGTCTGCTCCTGTGAAGACTGGACAGCTAGGAAAACCCTAGGAGTCACTGTGAGTTAGAATCCATTTGATGGCAGTGGGTTTGGTTGGGGGATTTGGGTTTCCAGGGGGACCTGGTGGTGCATTGGTTAAGTGTTGGGCTGTTAACGGAAATGCTGTATGAGTTGGAATCCATTAGCCGCTGAGAGGAAAGATGGGGCAGGCTGCCTCTGTGAAGATTGACAGCCTGGAAACCTACTGTGGACAGTTCCCCTGTCCTCCAGCATCGCTGGGCTGGAATCCACTTGAGTTTTTTTATAAGTTTCATACTAGATTCTCACCACGAATTGGATATCATTGTCCTCAGAGATTAAGCGTGTCCACCCAAATAAGTTCTACGAACAGTTTTTGTTGGTGGTGGTGTGGTTAGTTTTCACATCTTGTAATCAGAATAAATCTGTGTGGTCTTCTCAACAAGTAAACTCATAGTATGCTCACTGCTCTCAAATTGGTTCTGACTCAGCCCCCCTGGAGGACAGAGTAGAACTGGGTACATCTCTTTCCAGGAGGTGACAGTCTTATCTTTCTCACAGGAGTAGTGGATGGGTTCAAACTCCCTACCTCTCACTTTGTTAATAGCCCAACGAGTAACCCACTACACAACCTGTACTTCTTAAAAAGTAACATTGAACTTTGTTTGAGCTACACAAGCTGCCCGCCGCCATGTCTCCTCTTACAGACAGTGTACAATATCTCAGACTTCAACCGTTAACATATTAAGATTTTAGAACCACACAGTGCAGTGGCGATGTGGAGTAGAGAGAACTATCGGTTGGTCCCCTTTCTGCCGCTAACAAGTTTTATCACTTTGATCAAAACTTGTAACCTCTCCTGGCCCCAGCTTCCTCCTATGGAGATCCAGGGATGAGCTCATCTGGTTGACTTCAAAAGGTAATCCACAGACCACCAAACCTGGGAGAGACCAGGGAGAGGGAGGGTCCTACCTTCAGGTAACTCGGGGAAAAGATTCATACTCGCTTGCCTTTGGGGAATCCTGGTGCACATCAGCATAATAAATTTCTGCAGTAAAGGACCCTGCCCTGCTTTCGAGAAAGCAGCATATTCTAAACTTAGTTGACAGGTTGTTTTTTCTTGCAAAATCTGCAGAAATTGCAGGTTCTCTGGGGCAGGCTTTGGGACCCATGGAAATGGGTGGGTATTTGATGGGTTCTTTTCCCATCTGTGGAAAAAAAACAACAACTTTCTGCCTCGATGCACACATACAAATACATGCATGTGTATGTGCCAGTATATAACCTTGCACCATTGAAAACATCCCGGGTACCATACGTTGTCCACCAATAGGAGAAGACAGTGACTGTATAAATTCCAAAATAGTCATGTTCCTTACTGCATTTTTTTTTCTAGTTAAAAAAATAAATAGGCCACTTCTTTAACCCAAAGAGCAAAGAAAAAGTAATACCACAATTGTACACATCAGTGCTGCAGAGCTTAAGCAAATTATCTAAAGCCCCTTGATTATTTACTATAGGACTGCAGTGCTTTATTCTACCCCACCCCCTGCACACACACACACACACACACACACACACACACACACTCCACCCCCAGCACCCCTTTCTGTCTTCAGACTGCTAACTCTGGCTGCTGGGAAGAGCTTATCAAAAAATAAAATAAAATGAAAGTCTTTGTAATTGCCTTTTATCCCACCAAATATTGTTTGGGGCACTGTGAATTAGTGCTAGAGATCTAAAAACAAAGAGGCAAAGACAAAAGGGGAAGGCGCTGATGGTGCATCCCTTGAATTCGGTGTTTCTTTTTTTAGGACTGAACCCTCCTGGCTTTTGCCCTTGAGAGGGCTTTTTCCCCTGGTCTGTTAATGCTGTGCGGTTGCATCAACTGCATCTTTTCATTTGCAAATTGCAAGTTCTTGAAGTGCAGCCTTATCCACAGGATTTATATTTCCTACCCTTTCCATCCACTCTTCCTTCCCTACCCATCCTCCAGAACAAAACAGATTGTTTTGTTTTGTTTGCTGTTAAATATTTCAGGACATGCTTGTTTGTGAAACAATGTGGCCCAACTAACAACGTGATACACGTTTATTTCGAATGGAAAGCCCATCTTGTACATGAAAGCAATGGAAGTCGCGGAGACAAATGCTTCCCTTTTCTTGCTCCTGGGATTATTTTGGTCTCCACCACAATGATGCGATCCAGCCTGGATGTTTAAGGATCTGCCCGTTAGTTCCCTCGACAAGTAAATGCAAAGTATGCCCCAGTGTTGGATTTGGGGGCCACTTAAGGAAGGGATGACTTCATTGTTCGAACGCTAAAGAAAGCCATTTATCGCCTCCATTGTACCATGTCATGTCAAATTCCATTCCAAGTGTGGGCCTGGCGCTAAACAATACAGGGCCAGTCATGTGAAACTGGTCAAAGAGGGGAGTCACGGGGTTTTTCTTAAGATTGGTCACCCCCCATTTTGCTCTTGACCTGCGCCCCTCTGCTGATAGGGTGTGTGCAGTGGGAAATCCCTTGACCTGGAGCCTGGGCCAGGGCTACGTGCAAGATCAAAGGGCAGAGCGGGCATCTCTGCCTGGCCGAGGTGGGCCGTTCCCAGGCCGCCACACTGTGAGGCAGCCAGGGTTTTGTTCTGGCAGGAACCAGGGCCCCGGCCTGTGAGGCCTGGCTCGTCTTTGTCTGGCCTGAGAAGCTGGAGGCCCAGGTTGCCTATCCAGTGTTCATCAAATGATCAAAGGCCTGGACATGAAACCTTTCTTCCCGTTTCCTTTTCTGTAAAAGAATGAATTGCACCCAGACCAAAGAATGCCATTTCCAAAGCTTTTATGCGCAATGCTAGCGCGAACATTCGAGTCCTTCAGTTCCCGACGTAAGAACATAAGTGCACTTACAGGCGGGGCCCAGCTGCACCAGCAGACGGCATCCACCGCGTCTCTTTCAGAAAGGCTTTTAAGGATTAAGGCCTTTGCTCCTATTTTAAGGGCTTTTAGGAATAAACTTAGAATAATTTAAGTTCTCTTCCCCCCATCATCTAGTTTATTAGCAAGTCGGCAAGAATGCATTTTGAAATCAAAGTAAATCAGGATCTTGCGGTGGGAAACTGGGCCCCGGTCTGAGACACGGGCTTCTCTGCTCCTCTCTGTGGCCCAGGGTCTACAGAGCAGGCCAGAGGCTTCCTCATGCGTGGAAGGTCTACACTCCCAGGTACCAGGGGGTTTGTCCTGGGTTTTTTTTTTATGGCCAAGGTTGTGTTTTTATTGTGTATGCCTCAGTGGCAGCTCTCCACCCAGCGTTTCTGCATTTGTTTCTGAACAGTTTGTTTTTTGATTTGGTTTGGTTTCTAAGAATGGAGGTTGTAGGTCCTTGCGGAACTTCCCCAAGGTAACATTTGCTGGTCAGCTTCAAGTGACCAAGCCCAGGGAAGCAGGCATTATGCGTTGCTTACCTTGGAGCCAACCACAGAGACCCACCTGTTGAGAAAGGAGGTTTACGTGCACACCAACCCGCCCGGAAAGGTATCCCAGCAGCATCTGTGCAGGGCAGGACTGGGGAGTGGGAATTTGAAAAGGTGGCTGGGCAATGCCAGAGAGATGTACCCAGTAAACACATTCCGGGCCCCACCGCCACACCATGGCTATGGTTATTCCAAAAAATGCTAGTGGTCCCTTCCTTTTATTTATTTTTTTTGGGGGGTGGGGGGAATGGGAGTTTCATTTTGCGAGGCCATCAGAGCTCCTAAGGCAAATCCCAACCCCTTTAAAGGCGTGCCTTTTGGGCGTACGTTCTCCTGGGACACTGCCGGGGCGTCTGTGAGTTGTGTGACCTGACAGCAGTGAGGTAGGTGCGCACAGCCCCAATTCCATCCCCTGCAGTTGAAGGCTTTGCAGTTTTTCTGGGTCCTGGGTGTTAGAGGAGTAAACATCGTAACAAAGTCAGTCCAACTGATTTGAAGGTTACCCCTGCCCCACCCAACTCGATTGCCGGAGGAGCCCTGGGGGTGAGGTGCAGTGGGTCACGTGGCACAGTTGGCGGCTGAGGCTGTTCCCCAGGCGACAGATGAGACTGCACATCCCAGAAAGATTCACCCTAAGGAGCAGTTCCACTCTATGCTACGGGAGTGCAGTGAGCCGGTGTCGTGGGGTGGGGTGGGCTTGATTACCTCTTACATACTTGTCCCTTGACATGATGCCACGTGTGACTTTTGTTATGGAGTTACATCGAGAATGCTACCTGCCAGAGGGAAGTGCTTTTTTTAAATCATTTTATTAGGGGCTCATACAACATCACAATCCATACACACATCAATTGTGTAAAGTGCATTTGTACATTCATTGCCCTCATCATTCTCAAAACATTTTCTCTCCACTTAAACCCCTGGCATTAGGTCCTCATTTTCCCCCTCCCTCCCCGCTCCCCTCTCCCTCATGAGCCTTTGATAGTTTATAAATTGTTATTTTGTCATATCTTGCCCTGTCCGACGTCTCCCTTCACCCACTTAAATCATGAGCTCTAAGGGCTCCTCCCATTGACCATGTTTGTCGTTTCCCCAGCCCTGTTTTAGTCTTTGCTACATGGCTTCTTCCTGCATTTGCCCTTCCTGGTTACACGTTGGACTGCTGCCTCAAGGTCAGCAGTTTGAAACCAGCATTCAAGCCACAAGAGAAAGACAGGAAACTTTCTACTCCCATAAGAAGTTAGAGTCTCAGAAACTCACAGGGCAGTTCTGCCCTGTCATACAAGGTCTCTGTGAGCCGGCATCAATTTGACAGCAGTGAGTCTGAGAGGACAGGAGATGCGCTGGAGCCCCAGAAAGAATATTCACTTCCACTTCATGCAAGTGTTCACAGGATGACATGGGAGAGGGTATGGAAAGAGCTTCCACCCACATACCTGCCCCGGAGCAGTTGTGGAGGAAATCTGTCCTTTGCCTTTGTGTCAGAGGGGGGTGGAGGTTGGGGAAGAGAATGTGTGTCTGTTGGCCTAGCTGAGAAACAAGTCCATGGCTTTTATGACCTGGTTTTGTAATTCGCTAATCATAGCGTTTTGTAAATTGGTCTGAGATTTTGAAACCCATTGTTCTAGCTGAGTGTCTTTGAAGGGTCTGACTGATGGAGAGGCTATGTGGGACCTTCCATTTCATAGCTGCTTGACTTCAAATAAATGACACACCTCCCTGAACCTCCTCAATAGAGCCACCCTGTCTGCTTGAGCTGGGATGGGGCTCGAATGAGACACAATGTGGGGAAGGCCAATGTGAAGTAGAGTAAGTCCCCAGAGTAAGAACAAGTTCCACTCCTAAAACTGCCTTGCAGTCAAATGTGTGTGTAATTCAGAAGAGTTAGGGACAGTTCCTATCTAGCATCAGTGGTCAAATGTGTGTATTAGTATAGCACACATGGCATACCTTTCTGTGCATAAGGAACACTTGAAAACACTTCTAGACACACTGTGTAACATCTCTCGCAGAATAATACAGTTGGGATAATGTCTTGGTGTGTGTGGCAAAGCAGCGCTCGTTCTTCCCTATAGATACTTTGAATTTTTTAATATAATAGATATTTATACCAGGGTGGCTTCATGACTGCAGACAGCATGTAAGGCAGATGTTCACCACCCAGAGCCTTTCTGCCCATACAGTGAAACATTTGATAACGTTATAATTAATAGAGGGGTTTTAAGAACTCAGGTTAGATGTCAACTTTGAATACCCAGTCAAAATAGATAAAAAGACTACCTTCGGGAAGCAAGGAAGGTTAAAAGTAAAAGTGAGGAAGGCTAACTGAACCATACTTTCCCTCCACATACGTCTGCTCTTAACCCCATGACACATCATCTGACATACACATGTGTCAAAGTATCTTTTAAAATAGCATCATGTGGCTTGCTGAATTTTTAAAAGTCATATACCCCTCTAGTCACATGTGGCTATTTAAATTAAGTTCAATGTGAAATTCAGTTTCTCAGTCACGCTAGCCACATTGCAAGGGCCCAGTGCCACCTGTGGCACCCATCTTGGGTGGGGCAGATATAGACTCTTAACATTGTTACCCAAGTTCTCTTGGGCAGCATGCTGCAGGGACTAACACTGAGAGTGGTCACAGAATGGTGTCCACTCCTCCATTCTTCTCACCCTTTTAGGCCTAGCCACCATCACCTCTCGGTGTTGGTGGAATGGCTTCTAACCTGGCCTCCCCTCTCCTGTTCTTTCCCACTCTGTCCTCCATACAGCCGTACATGCGATGGCTTCAGGTCAATGCAGTCTCTCTCATCTGAGACCTCTTCCCAGCCAAGCTGACCTTCTCTCAGTCCAGCAAAAATCACAGACCCTTGTGATTCCACGGGCCTGGGACCCATGGCCTGCCCCTTACAGGGAGCCTCTTTGCCTCCTTGGCCCTTTCATGCAATCCTGCTGTGGCTTCACAGTAATGATCATAGCACGATCCACGCAGGTGACAAATGCAAAGTCCAACTGTGAAAGTGTCATTAGAGGGGGTCACAAAGAGCCACGTGATCGTCGTCTCGTGCCATCCAACCCTGTCTATTGAACACTTACTTCTTTGCCAAGCACCTAGTAAATACAGTGAGCAAAAAGGAAAAGGAAGAAAAACGTAGAGTTTGTACTGAGGTCATGAAAAAACATACAATAAATACACATTTGCGTGACTTGGAGGAGGGTGCTGAGTGCAACCAAGAGCACCCTCGGGACACAGGGTCTCTCTTTTCCTCACCGACAGAAAAACAAACTGCAGGTTGAACTCAGGGAGAACCACGTGTGGCCAAGCAGAACTGGGCCCCATCGGGTTGTCAGTGACTGACTTCTAGGTGGTAGAGTGCCAGGCCTTTCTTCCAAGGTGCCTGTGGCTGGGATGGAACCTCCCAACTTTTGAGTTAGCAGCACGTGCCTTAGCCCTTTGCCCTATTCAGGGGCACCGATGACAGCGCTCCACACAGACCTGTGGTCTTTGATTGGATCCGTGGTTCCTTCAGACGAGCTGAAAGGGACCTGAGAAACCATTTCTTCTGGCCACTTTGTTGTAAAGGGAGGCAGCAGATCCGGGTGTTGTCCCCCAGGTCTTCTAACTAGTCAGAACTGGATTTGGAGCCCTGGTCTTTCTGCCTATTAGTAGGTGTCCAAGAGGACAAGATGTTGGCCTCAGGTCATGAAAGAGAAGGGACTATTAAGGACCAAGGTACATGGTTACCCGACATGTTTTCAGGGGACAGTTAAGTGGAGTAAGTGACATGGACATTCAAGGACTAGAGGGAAAGCCAAAGGCAGGAAGAGCTCCCTGGGCCTTGAATTACAGGGGAGCAACTTGGGGTTTGTCTTGTTTGCTGCCTGGAGTCCATTGTGGAAGTATGTTAGGCTGGATTGATTATAGAAATAAATCCAGTGACACTCATATATGCAGAAGAAAGAATTTTATGTCAAGACGTAATTATATACCCAGCAAGCCTCCCAGGCCACTTCAACTCAAGTCCTTAAGTCTGAAACTAGTCCATATGTCCCTCTTCAGATTCACACAGCCACATGCAATGATGCAGAATGCAGGGAGAGCACAGTGGGTGCAGGGTTGTTTGGATCCAAGGTCTGTGGAAGCGTGGCAGGGCTCCAGCAGAATGCAGGTGGAAGAGGAGAGAGAGTAAGAGCAGCTCCCAGGGTCTCACACTCACATACTGTCCAGGTGTCATCGGGTTGCTACTTGATTGACGGTTTGACTCCGCCCCTACATCATCAAGTTGGCCTATGATGCTCTACCTCCCCCAGGAAGCGATGAGGTCCAAGTGTGTATCCGCAGGATAACTTGGCAGTGTTGTAGAGAATGGATTGAAAGGTGAAGGAGCTGGAGTGAAAGATAACAGAGAGGAATCCACCTTGGAGGTCTCCAGGAAAGGGCCAGCCAGACCCTACCTGTGTGCTCTCGGGCAGCACAGATAGCAAGGAGAGGCCCGGTGAGGGGCTTGCTGCCCTCAAGTCGAAACTCCCTTGAATAAGTAGTCTGGAGCAGAGAGATGAAATAAGTTGTGGTGGGCAAACCTCACATTTACATTCTGCCGAAACAGAAAAAACGAAGTGCCAGCCAAAAATGATTTTCACAGATAGGTTTGGCCTCAGCTCGTCTTCAAGGTGAAGATGCCTTGTCTCCGAACTCATAAAAAGTTTCAGCCTGAAAAAGATGATTCAGAAAGGGCTAGTGGATGAGGAGGAAGACTTTGTCGTGCACTTGCTTTCAGGTGGAAAAATTTGATTTTGGTTTTTTTAACCAAAAGTGTCCTCAGTAAAGCAGCCATGTGACTATTTCCTTATCTGCTTGTTTATTTTTAGCCATGTCCCTCCCCTCAGCTATTCTTGTGCATTAGAAGTAATGACAGGTATATGGTGCTTGAAATGCCACTGCCCATTTTATAGATGGTCCTCAGAACAGAGCAGGAGCCGGCCAGTTAACTGGGGCACCTGGTGAATGAGACACACTCATGTACAGTGTAACATACCGGAGCTTCGAGTGATTGCTGAGGAGAACCACGTGCCGTGGTGTGCACTGAACCCCCAAGAAGTGAATTGGGAAAGCAGAGGTGGGTTTGACCACCCCAGAAGGGCTGCTTCCGGACCCCCCATAAATACTGAGGGTAGTCACCCAAAGAAGAGACTAGTTCTCAACCTGCATTGTGGCCTCATCTTCTCTGGTTATTTTTATAAGTTCCATCACAGCTCCTGCTCCTAACAGTTTGTCTCAGAGATGGGCTGCCATGTGTGTGGCACCCTCGGTCATCCGTAAACCACATAGAGCTCACATGTGTCATGGTGTCTTGATGAGGTCAGCATGGGGCCCCTTCTGAACTGATCCAAGAGGTCCAAGTTCCTAAGAGTGGGATTTTCCCATCAGCCTGGGCACTGTAGCCGGCTGCTTCCAGGAACGGTTGCCAAAGAATTGCCCTACCTCTCAGGCCTAAGATTGCTCTTCTCCCCTGGCAAGGTGGAATTTTTCCTTGAGAAAGCATTCCCTATGCCTGCATAAGAGCCACTGTTCAATTCCTGGTGGCAAAGATCCCCCACAGGCCACTTATTCCTTGGTAGATCGTTCAGCTTGCACACTGTGTTGAGTAGGCATCTGGGGGCCAAGAAAGAATGCTGTTCCTATTAATGGTACTGTTAAGGCATAGGTTCCCAAATTTATTTGACCTTCCACCCCGTTTCCAGGGGGAAAAAATACTCATCCCCTGGCCCCAGCAATTAAAAACGTGTGTACTAGAGTCTATAGTCCAGGATAAAGTGTAGGTATCTGCTATTGTAGCCCCCTGTATTGTCCCAGCAGTCCTCAGGGGGTGGGGACTAACTAACTAACTAACTAACTATATATATATATATTTTTTTTTTTTAATCAGAAATAATATCAAAGTGACTGAAGGGCAGCTACCAGGCCTGCAGGGAGGACAGATGAGACAAGAAGAGATTTTCTATCATAATTAGGAGTGAGCTACAGTAAACACCCCTAAAGATTTTGTTTCTCAGTTGGAAGGGTAAAGAGAGACTGAGCTCGTTAAGGCAACTCATTTGTTTACCCGTGTTTGCCGTCACAAACTATCCCAAACTGGGTGGCTTGCAACAGCAGGCTTGTCTTCTCTCCCAGTCCTGCTGCGTAGACATTGGAACTCGGGTTGTCAGCATTCTTGGTACAAAAGACTCAAATACGAAATAAGTGTGAGTCAGAAAGTGTTTCTATAATTCAAAAAGTATTGCTACATACTGCTTGATGTGATTTGAACTATAGAATGGTATGCTATTGTAAGAGCTCCAAGTGAAATGATTAAAATTTTTAAAAAGAATTGCTACAAGATCATAGAAAGCTTTACAAAGCAAAACTATCAAAACATGAAGCTATTATTTCTTGGCACAGCCTCCAACTAGGTCTGTACACTTTCCAAGGAGGCTTCTCTGACGCTTCCCCCAAAGAATGGTGTGAGCTTAGATTTACGCCACATCAAAACAGCACTTCTGACAGCCTCCAGGGTTTCAAACCGTGATCCTTTGAAATATCTTTTAAGTTTCAGGAGACATTGGAAGGACCAAGATCAGAACTAAAGGGTGGATGGATGGGGTAAGATGTCCCGGTGAAATCCTTATAGGACAGCCCGTGCTGCCCTTGAGGAATAAGCAGGTGCGTCCTCATGATAAAGATAGTTCCTGGGCACAACTTGTCTGACATTTTTCTCACCGATTCAGCTCTCAGTTTTCCTAAAACTTCTTAATAAACTCCATCACCATCTGGTGTCCTTCCAGAAAAGCTACCAAGGTGACGCCTTTGGAATTAAAAATAAAAAGTCTTTGTAACATTCCAAGCTGACCTCGCTTGCCTTGAATTTAACTGGCCCTGCAAAGTCCTCTAGGAAGTCACTGTTCGGATTGGACCTGTTTTGAAGGCACCGTAAGATGGCTAAGGCAAGTGTATTACCGAAAGAACTTGCCTGTAGCCATGCCACTGATCGCAGAGACAGGTTTAAACTCATTTCATTGGGAATAAACCCATGCATACATGGACTCCGTGTGTGTGTGTGTGTGTGTGTGTGTGTGTGTGTGTGTGTGTGAAGTTGAGGTCAAGAGATTGCCTTCGTGCTCAGACTAGGGGGTCGGACAGCCTCTGTGTTAGCTGTATAGAGTTCCCAGGATCGGGGCCTCATGAAAGCATCCCTGGTTCATGTTAATTTTTGAGCCGTGTAGCAATTGTTCTGTTGACTGTCTGGGCACTCTGCGAGGGTTGGTTCTGTATTCTGCAGACATAGAGGGCTAGAAATATGGTCTCTCCCTTACCCGTCATCACCCACCCTTCTGAAAGGGTGATCTAACAAAATGAAACTCATTCCAACCAGGAACCTATAAATAGCCTAGTTCTCCAACTAGAACATATGATTTATTCTACTTTGTTTGCTTTGGGTTTATAATAATCAACTTTTGACCATTATCCCTCGAAAATGTATTTAGCTAGGAGCAGAGTGTTTTCTACATCCTTCCAGGGGCTACAATTCAGAAAATTTACTCATGTAATATTAACAGCCTTTCTTGTTCCCTTTGAGGTTCATACTGTTTTTTGTTTTTTACTTTTAAAGGAAAAAATATACACTGTGTTCCTGCCAATTGTAAATCCTGAGTATTATGTTTATTAAGATATTATTACTGAATGTGCCATTGAAAGCAATGCTAAAGAATGCCTGTCCTTGAGAATACAACGATGGTCTTCTCTACAGTGAAATCCACCCCTGGGGCACCTTTCAGAATATTGGTCTCATGACATTAGTAGACTCACATGACTCACTTAACCCATAGCCACGCTCCAAGAGGAAATCGAAGCAAACCTTATAAAGGGACACCAGTGGAATATTCGCTTGTTTTTTCTTTAACATCAAATTGATTCGCTTATTGTTAAAAAAAATAGGTTTAATATTGAAGTACTAATGTCCTTTTAATGTGCTATCTAAAGCTAAAACACTTCGGTTGTCTTAAAATGTGCTTAACCAATACGTAAACTTCTAAACCCAGTAAACCCCGAGCGAATTAGAAAGGCAATTAATATTTATCGAGCAGTTCATTCAATGAGACCCCATGGACTGTGCGCTTTTAGGATGCTAACTGCCATGTGTTCTGCGAGATAGCCCACTCACATTGGGAAACGGGCCCCCAGGGCAGGACAGAGGAAGCCGGGCCCCAGGGAGAAATTTGACTCAGCCCTACTGCACAATTGACATCCTTCACCCCCACCCCCCTATATACTAATGGAATCACCAACCTCCATTAAGCTTAACTCGTTCACAGGAAGTATAACTGTATGTATCTAGCACTGCATGGTCATGATGCTTGTCAAGTAGAAATATCCGAAACTTCTCTACTGGATCCCAGTGTCTCAAACCTGCTACCATCTTATCTCACCGGCTGCCCTGGAATCCATTCTGACCCCTAGTGACTATAGAACAGAATAGGACTTCCCCTGGGGGGTTCGGAGACCCCAACTCTTTGCAGGGGTAAGAGGCCTCCTCTTTCTCCCTGGGAGCTGCTGGTAGTTTCAAACACTAGAGCGCTTTGAATCCCACTGTGCATTCATTCCCTTAGGTTCAGCGTTAGCACGTCTTTTTCCTATCTTTCCTTCCACATAGGTGTTCTTTGCATAAGAATACGGTTTCATTCCTTAGCTATTTACAT